ATTGATTGTTTTTTTATTGAAAAATTAAATGTTCAAAACTATAATTTAATCATTTATTTACTTTAAATTTAAACATCAAAGTCGATTCATATTCTGTTAGATTCAAACCCAAAACAACAGTTTTGTTGTTTTGGGTTCAATAATAATCGGCACATTAATTAATGTTCTTAATATAACACCAAACAAAACAAGAAAAGCCAAAACTCACAAAGTTAGATGGAAACAGTCGTCACACCTCCACAACAACCGCGCAAGAAAAATTGGTTGTGTATATTCCCAGGGTGTACACAGTGCGCCGCAACACATTACAATGTTAGTTTTTATTATAATAAGACATTTTTTAATGTTCTCAAAACACTCTTACAACAAGGTTTATAGTCATGTCTGGGACTCTCATTTAAGACATTTGACACTCTCTCCGTTATTCAGTGGGTGTAAAGGTGTCGTTTATAAGAAATTGAAAGACCGCAGTGAGGTGAAACGGATGTGCGAAGTGTATATGATCGAAGTGAACACAGATCAAGATGTCGAGGCACAGCGAGCATCGGCTCGGCTCAAAATGGGCAACCCTCAACTTTCAGTTTTAGTCAATTCGCAAAACTCCTTTGAGTCGGACAGTTTGAACGACCAAAATACGTCAAGCGGACAAAATACCCAAAACATGTCAATACCACAAAACCCGCCAAACATGCAGATCCAACTTCAACAAGTTGCCCAGCCTCAAGAAATGCCTCAACAGCTATCGCAGTTGCAAAAAACTCAACAAATGCAACCGCCACCACAAGCTTCACAACTCCCCTTTCAGCAAACAAATCCACTCGGCTACATGTGGGACTGTGTAACTCATTACAATGAGCCGGAACCCATTCAACAAGTGGTGATGCCACAAGATGACTTCATGCGTGTTGTTCAGATAACAAGTAATTTAAAACGGTTGCACGTCGCTGGGGAGATATTGGCGGAGAACGGATTTCTTCAAAGATCCGATGCGAGGGTAAAAGAACACATTGAACCGCTTAAAGGGTGCCTCGACTCGATTTTAACAATGACAGGAAGGTCGTTCACATACAAAGGAAAAGAGGAGAAAAAGCTTGGTTTCATTGCGCAAGAGATGCAAGAGGTTCTTCCCGAGTTGGTGCATGAGGACGAAGAAGGACTCTCTGTCGATGTCATTGGGATTATACCTGTATTAGTCGAAGCCCTCAAAGAAATTCACACGGCTTCAGATTTCACTGTTGAAGACACCAACTCGCGATTCAAAGAGTTATCGAAGGCGGCAGATGAGGCACTTTCTATGATCAAAAATGTGACAACGCGTGTTGAACAATGTGAAGAACAAAAGAAACACCTTGGGGTGTTTGCAATTGAAGAAGAGGCCGTTGTCAAGTTTTCTTCTGGACCCGTTTTACTCACATTGGTATTGTCACTTCTGTTTTCTGGTATTTCGTGTGGTGTCATCTTCGCGATACCCAAAATGCCAGTGATGTGGTTATATTGCTGGGGAATGTCTGTTGTGTTGTGGGTGTGTTGTTGGAGGCAAAGGGGTGAGCTCACGCGTATTGTGAAAAATCGGAAAATCGAGTTTTACTGGTTTCACGAACACAGTGTTTTTTACTACATTTCGGCAGTTATTTTAGTCCTATTTTTAGCGGTGAGTCTTGTGATGGGTACTTCGATCATAACATTTACTGCAGTGAGTGTCGGTGTGTTACTTGTTATGACTGCGGCCACCATCTGGTTCTTCCAGAAATACAAAATCAAATTTGCAATCGTTTTCTCGTTGTTTTGTGTTGTGTTGGTGACGGTATCTGCCTGTGCTGTTGTTCTATTCTTGGTACAACCGGATTACACGTGTAACATCAACGACAACAGTCGCGAGTATACAATCACCGTCGACTTAAACGTGAAAACAGCGAAACAAGTGGTGACCACTTTACCATGGAATTGTTGGTCGAGTTCTTTTGTGTTTTCAGATGACTTGCCAAATGGGTTTGTGTCAATAATTCCCACAGACGGAACACCTCCTTACTTCGAAGGAGTTGCCACAAATCAGTTCCCAACAACAACAGTGAAAGTTTTTATCAAATGTGTTGATGTGGTGAAGTTTTATTGTGGCGCAGTTACTCTTAAGAGTTTGTTTTCCTTTAAATCCTTGACGAATAACATGTGTTAATAAATAGCTTGTTCCTCTCGCACTGATGAAGTTGATTGTACGGGTAATGCGTGTACGTGGAGTGTTGAAGATCAGACTTGCAGTTGATACCAATTAATGGTGTATCTTCAGTTCTTATATTTATCCAGTGTTTCTTATATATGTTTGCGCCTTTTATTAGGTATTCCACAACCACATGATATCAGTAGTTTCATATCCAAATCATTGAAAATGTGGATAACACATAAGAAAAACAAATTTATAATTTACGCTTGGTCTGTCGAGGTTTGGAGCCTAGGCACTCCATTTTTTATCGTGTTTTGCTCCATTACTTTGTGTTGTCCAAAGTGTGGTTGTTCGTCTTTAATACTCTCACCGCCTTTCGTTGGTACCTTTCTCGATTTTAAAACAAATGGTGGTTTTTTGACTTGGTGTGGTTGTGCAACATGTGTGTCATTTGAATCAGGCAAGCTGTAGTGACTTTTCACGGAAGTTGTTCGTAACGTGAGTGGTGGTGTTTTTGGACTTTTTGGTTGTTGAATTTCGATGTTTGTTTTCGTCTCCATCACGTAAGGTGGAGGTGGTAGAGTTGTTAGTGAAGGTTGTGAAATTTGTTCGTTTTGCTTTTGTGAATACGACCCCACTGGCTGAGTACTTTCCACGCTTTTTGATGATTGGCTTTTCATTGAAGTCGCAAAATTCAAAGAACGTGAAAGCCTTGACGTGTTCGACCCAAGTGCTTGTGTTCTCGAATGTATTTGTTTTGGTTTTGGAGGCACAACAGGATTGTTCAACGACTGAGAAAGCACACGTGCTGTATTTACTGGTAATGAGCAGGTCGATGGCAGTTGTGATTGTTTAAGTTGTCCCTCAAATGATGGTTTTTGTGATGATGTGAGTTGATAAGTTGGGTTTTGTTTCGCTTCCGGTGAAATCGAGTTAGTGGTTTGAGAAACCGGTTGTCTTGGAGCACCGACGGGTCTTGCAGAAAATGCTTTCATGTTTGCAACTCGTGTTGTCTGAGGAAGTTGTGCAGACATATACGTCTTTCTTTCTGGTGGTATTTTAGTTTGGTCCGATTTTAGTGTTAAAGTGCTTTGTGAATGTTGTTGTGCTCTCAAAGAGCGTTCCGGTGTATTCAAAAACTTGTTATGTTCATCAACTGGTGCTGTCTGAGCCTTCTGTGGTATTTGGAACGCGACTTGTCTCTGTCCTGCGTTCTTTGGATTTGCAGGCTTAAAGAAACTTTTCTTTTGTTCTTGTTTTGTGTCTGTTGCATTAGTAGAATCCGCCAATTGCGAAATTTTTGGACTTTTCAATGGGCTAACAGGATCAGATTCTATTATTTCGCTTTTTGGTGGTAAAGTGTCTTCTTGGGTTTTGCTGTTTTGTGGAGTATTAAATGAGGGTGGGATATAACTTGGCACTTCGATGGAATGTTTCTTTGATGCAAGTTTTGGTGGTGGTCTTACTGTTTTTGGGGGGTTTGCTTTTGATGGTGTGAATCCGGTGATTTGCACTTCTGAAGGTGATAACACCAACGTAGCAAGTGTTTTCTGTTGTTCAACTTCTTCTTCTTTAATTGGGATACTTATGGCCTTCTCTTTAATATCCGTATTCTCCGTGGCTTTCACTCCCTTTTTCTCCCCACTCTTTTCTTCGTCTTTATCCGCATTATCTCGATGTTGATATTCATAAGGAAGTGGGTTTGTTCTTTGAGTGATCATTTCCACATCAGGCATTCCAAGGTATTTGGTAAACATTTTCAAATCAGGCACAGGTTCACTTATATACATATCGTCACCATTTTGGTCTCCATCTTTCTTAAAAAACTTGAGGATTTTGTTTTTAGTTGGTTTAGGTATTTTAGGTTTAGTCTTTTGAGTCAGTGGTCCCAAAGTGCTTGGTTTTGTTTTGTCATGAAAGCATTGATAATCCTTTGGTGTTCGTTGTGTGAGGGGCGCTGCTGTTCTAAAGCAGAAAACGCATTGCTCTTGTGGAAGTGGTGGGTTACCTTCAATCAACGTCAAACACGTCACGCATCGGTGACATGTTGTATGACAAAGTACTTCTCCAGACAGAGTGCTACATGGTTGCCCTGGATTCACTTTAAGCCCGCATTTCACACAAACAGTTTCTTCGCTTGGAACGATGCCCAAACTCTCCAATGTTGTACACTCCAACTCCTTTTTATTCTCAAAAGACTCCATCAAAAAGGGGCAAAAGTCACATAAGCGTTTGCCCTCATTCAATGCTTGTTCTCGCTCGTCTAAGAACATAAAGCACATCTGTGCGTTCTGAAATTCCTCCAAAAATTCAACATAAGATATTTCGCTCTGTTTAATGAAAGCCTTCCAATTAAACTGCTTTGTTTTGTGGGTGTTGAAAAATTTGTCGTAATTGAGAAACATGTCTCTGTATAACAAAAAAAGTTGGTTGTACACAACACCGTCAAGTTGTTCGTTTTTCACTGCGGACGAATTGATCAAACGCGTGAGCGCACTCGCTAATTTGACACACCGTTGCGAACAAAACAAATCGGGGTAATTCGGTCGGTTCAAAAAGAAGCCCCCCTCAACGTCGATCACATACACATCTTCCAAATCACTGTCCTCTTGTAACAATGGATATATTTTTCGTTGACAACCAATTATGAAAGGCCTATGTGTTATTATTTGTAGTTATTGTAACAATTAATAAGAAGAAGAACAACAAACATTGGTGCATCTCCATAACTCGTCATCTTCTTTGGAAGAATTGGGATGTACACGTGTTGCCACACAAAAGGTTGTACCAACTCCATAAAGCATCTGATGGTGTTTGAAATGTTCGAAAGTTCGTCTCCAACAAACACAAATTTGCGTTCTAACAAGATCTGTCCGACAAGAAAGAGGACAGTCGACACCCCCATCCGTTCCATTAGTTTGATAGACCCCACTGCGTACACAGTAGTTGTTGGTGATCGTGTGAATTTGTATGGATTTGAGACTTTAAGTGACTTCGATGCAACAACGGACTCTCCAGGGAGTGGGAAGTCGCGTTGGTACAAGTCGTCGCAGATTAACACGAACGTTAGATAATCGCTCACAAACTCTGCCCAAAGTGACTCCATAATGTCGTTGTAGAGAGCAAAGTACGCACTGTATGTGAGTATGAAGTCGGTTATGTGTTATAAAAATAGATGTTAAATAAATAAAAAGACCGATAGAATATCGAAATTGAAATACAAAAAGTACGACACAAACTGCCCAGTCACAAGTACAAGACACTGAAATGGCTTTTGTGCTGTTGACCGTTTACAATACCCGACTTTACGTTTCCCGTCAAGACTCGTGAGAGTGAAAGAAAAGACTTTGGTGTCGGTGTGTTGTTCGTCTCCTTCCTCTGGAAAGCAAAAGGGAAGAATTGTTTTTTGTTGCTCTTCGTTGCAAAAGAGCTGATAGAGGACTTCGATTTTTGAATATTCGAAAAACTGGAAACAGAGTAGATAGTCAAACAACCCACCAGGGACAAGATGGTTGTTTGGGTGGATCAAATATTCCATTTGATTATCGAGTTTTTTAATGGACTTTTTCTTGTCTTAAAATCACTTCCTATTTTTTTCGTAATGGTATTTCATTGATTCACTTTTGTTGTCTTCTTGTTGACCCGATACTTCCCTTATTTGTGTTCCAAATATAAAAAATTCTATTTCGTTATTTCAATTTCTTCCTCTTTTCTTCTTCGATTCCAAAAAATATTGGTCATTGATATCGCCAAGTCCATATAATTTATTATAGTTTATTATTAATTAAAAAGCTGTTTCTAACAGTTAAACTTGAAAGAAAATGAGTTTGTATTTTTTACAAAAACAAGAACAAAAGCCAAAAAATATAACTGAAGAGTTAATACTCTTGGACTTGTCTACTTAATATAAAACCTTAAGTAAGTTTTAATAATAAAAAAATAATAAAAAGTTATCAAAAAATATAAATACAGTTATTTTAACAGCAAAAAAACACAATAACTTGTGTATCATTTTAACGAATAATTTGTTTAATAATACATCGATAAAAACATTCTTTTTGTTTTTAGTTCATTAAAGGTGGTTTGACTAAAAAGTTGGATATTGTCAAATAATTAAATGAATTTTTAAATAATTCATCAAATCTTTAATTAAAATGGATATTTAAATAATTTTTTATCATTCAAACCGAATTATATATAAATAAGAATTAAAAATTATGATAAATTGATTATTTTATTAAAATTAATAGTTAATGATACTATTTTGAACAAGACAATTAATAAAAAGAATTTTATCTAGTTAATTTAGGATAAAAATCAATAGAATTACGTTATTTCCTCAAATTGGCTGTATATTATTTTGACCAAAGATAAAATTCGAAAAAGTTGGAAAAAATACTTAATAAACTTGATAATTCATTTTTTTTATAAATACTTTTAAAATTTATGTAATAAATTAATTAAATTAAATTAAAAGTGGTTAATTATTATAATAATTTTTTGTTTAAATATTACAATTATTTGCTATAATATTAATATAGTCCCATAATATTAATATTATATATTATCATACTATAATAACATCAAAAGTAATAAATATCGCCGAACTTTGCTAACAAGGGTGTTAAATCGTATTTGACAACCTAGAGAGGAAGTGAGATTTTTCAACACAGTTAAGATCTACATAACAGATATGTAGTCTTCCCCGTGGTGATATATTTTTTAAATTATTTATCATCAATAAGTAATTTAATTAACATTAATAATCTTAATTGAGTTGGTTTCAAGTATTAAAAAAATGGTATACTATTGATTTTATTATAATATTTATTAATTAATTATTAATATATTATATCAATAAGTTAAATTATTTATTATCGACACGACTTAAAAAATTGGGTCGACAGAACACACGAAAAATTCAATAAATCTGAAGAGAGTGCATCACATTAAGTCGAGTCTTATTGTAAAACGTTCTAATAATTCTGTCGATGTTACTCATCCAATCCACGTCATTTTCAAGGAGTTTTAAAAACTCCGATACCTCCATCGCACCATTCTCTGCTGCGTCAAATTGATCGACAACATTCATATTAAAGACATAGCATAAGTCCCCCGTTTGTTGTTGTCTTGTGTCAAAGTATTCGAGTAAATCCATGAAGACCTGATAGTCGAGTGATATGACAATTGCGAACTCTTTCTTTGTTTCCTGGAACCTCTCCGGCGCGCTCTTCAAAATTGCGTTTTTGTCGAGCATTTGAAAGATTTTGTGTTTTTTGAAGAAGTCGATGTGCATCTCATCCTTTGACAACATAGTCTTGATGTCTTTATAAGGCGTTCCAAATTGGAATCTAAAGTTCCTGACAGGTCCGGGTAGTATTGTATATTGTCCCGTCCCAAATGATGACACGTTATATCCAAGTTGTTTCAGTCTTCGGTGTGCGCATGTACTCCGGTTTTGGTTTGACCTACATACAACCGCGATGCTTTGATCGAAGTGTGGTTTCATTTGGAACGCCATGTCTTTTGTTTTAAACAATTCTCTTTTTTAAAAGGTGTACTATTTTTATATTATAATTTAACCATTAAAGTGTACTTTAAAGTTATCACATATTTATAGTTACTTTCTATTATTTATCGAGAGAAGACATTCATAACTAGACACAACGAAATTTGTGAATTGATTTACAATCCGCCCATTGGCTGATCGCCCTGGAAAGCATCCGACGGGTAATTTACTCCGGTGTAGTCCTGTTGATACATGTCTTGTTGGAATTGTTGAGGAGGTTGTTGTGGTTGCTGTTCCATTTGTTGTGGATTGCTCGACACAAGATGCCTCTGGACCAGATCGTTGAACCTCGATATTTGGTCTAGATATCAATACACGAAGTTGATTCGATTGAAAATGATTTAAATAGCTCGAAGATCATAATATAATATATATTATTCTATTCTATCGAAGATAATTATAATATATATAATATATATAATATATATTATATATATTATATTTAGTATATATATAATGGCAATAGAACAAACTTTTAATAGTCAACCTAATTTCATAGGCCTTAAAGTAGTTGGGGTTCTGCTCGCGAAGTTTTGTGAGAATGTACGACGTCATCTCCGCAGAGATGTTTTTCCTCTCGAGCTCCCGAATGATTTCTTCGTCGTTGTAATAAAATTGGAGATATTGTTCGATCAGGCCTTGAATAAGCGAGATATCGACATAGCCCTGTTGTTGAGGTGGAGGGATTTGTTGCGGCTGTACGGGTTGTTGGTATCCTCCCGAAGGGAACCCGCCACGTTGTGGCGGGTACATTGCTGGTGAGTTGTATTGAGGCGGCTGTTGATAGCCGTATTGGAATTGAGAAGAGGACATTGGGCGTTCTTGAGTTTGAGGTTGTCCCGCTGACATCGGGTTGGATATTACTGAACCATTTGCGGCTGGATTCATCAAACAAACAAATTCAAGTTTATCGTTCCGACTTTTTGTTTTTTCTCTTTTTTTTCTTTCAGATACTATTTGGTATGGTTCTTTACCATTTAAGTATAGCTTCGGGCTTGACTTTATGTCTTTTGTTTTTGGGGTTTTATTTTTTTTTTTCTCTTTTCAGTTTTTTCCAGTTCAAACATTCGAAAAACAATTTTGTTTCATTTTTTTGTTTTTTTTGAATTTGAGAAAAAGAAGACTTGAATTAGGGTTTTGTTAGGGTAAACCGTTTGTATGATGACAACACTGATGACACATCTCCAAACGTCTTGACGTCAACACAAAAATTGTTTTTTGAGACCTCTTCGTTAAACTGAGTCTCGCAATTTAAAAATCGACCAATTTGGTTGAAGATTATGCACTTCCCGTCTTTTTTCAAATACTTTTGAATAGTATTGAACAATGGTTTAACTATAGTTTTGTCATATATAATTTCAGATCCAACGATTAAGTCAAATTCGCCTATATCTACGGGATTATTCCAATCAATTTTTTGTGAAAAAACATTTTGAATAACATTTTTGTTCATCTCAATGTTCTCGCACTGGACTTTCAAAATGTTGTCTCTAAAATCACTCATAATGACCTCTTTTGCACCTCGACAACAAAAGGAGGCATATCCAACACCCGCACCGACCTCTAATATTCTTTTATTAGTAACATTTTCTTGCATCAGGTAGTCGCCTAGGTACTTTTCACCATCCCACAATGTCCGACCCAAACAATCATCCAATTGGCGTGTGTCTTTCGATAACGTTTTGATAACTACTTTATATTCAGACTCACCCTTTCTCTGAACAATGTACTCTTCGTCATGGAATTCGAAGTGATCAAATATAGAAAGACCTTCGAACTCCATATAGAAATGAAATAGTAGTTTAACTAGTCTTATACCACCTTACATTTACATGTTTTTATCTAAGATTATTTTAAATAAAACCATTTACAATGACATGAATAATGAATAAGATTAATTTAGTTAAATGAAGTGCACAATGAGTACTATTTTACCCAAAATTCAATTATCCAAATCAGAAAAATCGTACGTTTTATTTGTGCTTGGAGAAGATAATTTTGTGAAATCAACATCATCACCATCAACACTCACATTTTCTTCTATTTTGCCGTACGACTTTGTATTTTTTGCACGTTTAGTAATATTTGTTGGTTCATCAGTCATTTCCGTATTTTGCTCTCCAATAATTTCCAGCGCGACTTTAATCATCTCACTCTCTGGGAGTGCCTTCTCTGTTTTCTTCTTTGTGAATTTCGAAATTATTGCGTCATATAATTTCCATGGGTCGAAGAAAATAAAGATCACAGAGAACAGTGCGACAATGACAGAGACGGATGGGAATATCGAAATGAAGTCTGTTCCGAAGAAAGGGACTGCTTCCATACTTTTCATGACGCATTGGAAAGCAGTTAAGTCACACGAGTCCCCCACTGACTCGTGTTGGTAATTTCCCGTCCCAAAACTGATCAATTGGATTGTGTTAAGTGCAAGAGGTGAACTGATTCGGCACAGGTATGCGCCAGCAAATAGTAACGAGTATGGGTCTGTCAGTCTATTAGGTAATATACGTAAGAATGATATAAATTGTAATGTGAGGAGTGATTCAAAACTGTATAACACGCATAATATCAGTGGGAGATATGATGAGACGTACACAAGAGTTGGTGTCGTTGATAACGCCTCAATGAAATACGCGTATGGGGATACATCGACCACTTTAGTCGGGTCATTGTTATTAGCAAGCAACTGGATGTAATTGATAGTAATTGCAAATTCGCTCCACAAGACCAACAACCCGACAATACCAGAAAGTACAAAAAACACCGCAACAAAGAACGTGCGAATGAATTTGTAATAGATCACTTTATAAAGTTTTATTTTGGAGTCATTTTGGGATATGGCATTGTATAACTTTGCTTTATCGCTCGACTTCTCCTTCAAAAACAAAAACTGTTTGTATCGCCACATCACATCGATAATCCCCTCGTTGATACTTACCATCTTTTCTACTTTCTTTTCAGCATCACCTTCGGCTTCTACTGACGATAAAAAGTCGGACACTTTTGATACTAAGACATTAACATACTTGCGCAATGGATCACTTTCACTAATGCGATTGTTGTACGCTTTGACTTGTGATACGTATCCAAGTAACTCGGACTTGGCTTCTTCAAACTTTTTGTTATAATGATAAACGTCGAGTAATGTACATTTCAATAATTTGGTGAGGGTCACCCGCTTAATCAATTTATATGGCACATCCACAACACCATTCCCAAGTAAAAAGATCATCATGAGCAAACCATAAGCGTTTGATGCGGCAATGCACACACCGTACCAATTAGAGTCTCGCGTGAAAATTAGATAGATGGCTAGAAATACCACACCAACAGCTCCAACTATTAAATAAAAGATCACATTGCGCCTAATTGCAGTACGGCATCTCTCAAGCACAGTAAAGTCCCCAGCAAATGGATATGACATGAAGTATGGGATAACAGTCCACATCACTACAAATGATAGCCAGTAGATGACCGTCCACATGATTTGTAACACATCGTTGTCCACATAAATCCATGACTCTTGGCACCCAGGTTTTTGGTTGATGTCACATGTTCTCTATTTATAAGCATTTGGACTTATTAAAGAAACTATGAATGAAATGCAGAGAAATTAAAAAATTGAAACAAACAGATGTGATGTCGACGGGAATAATACCCAAAATACTAAAAGCCAAAAAAAGACCAACAGAAGTGAATGCTGTTATATACCACTTCGTTCTTAGTGGGTTGGAATATATGAACAAAAACACACCGATTAGGACAAAAATGACACCAAAAATGCCTAACAGCACCGCCCACATTTTTTTGCTTTTTTAGTGTTTTGTAACATTCAAGATGACACTTCAAAACATTTTTGGTCTTCAAATTCTTATTAAATAAGAATTATACTATATTTTGGTGGTACTAAGATTCATCGAAGACATTTCAAAATGACTAAGCAAAACAAAATCATCAATTCAAATTATTCAATAGCCCAACAAGTTTCTCAGCCCCATCAAAGCAAAACAAAAAGCAATTTTTGTTCTTAATTTTCATCCCAATTGTTTCTTCATCAATTAACACTACATTTGCGATATCACCGTGTTCATACACAATCTTCTGGCCGCCTTCCACCATCGTCATGTTTGTTGCTGTGACAATTACGGTTTTATCAACGATATCGTTCCCACTCACCAAGTGGCGTACTGCAAAGACTTCCATTTCTTATGGTCCATTTTTTTGCTTATAAACCCTAAAAAAACTGTATAATTGACTGAAAAAGTTTTCAATTTTTCGGATCTTTATTTATATTATTAATAAAGATGAAAAGTATCAAAAAATAAAAAGAGTGGTCTTAACTATCAAGAAAGTACTTATAGTATAATTAAACTATATGAAATATAACAAATGGAAGGAATTAATATACCACCTCGACATCATAGCAGTTTTCATTTCCCCATCGGTATTGGTTCACATTACCAGTGTCCCATCTCACACATATCCACCCATTTCCAGCACTGGCTATAGCATACCCAAGTTTCCCATTTCCACCATCTTGATCACTCCATTTCCAATCGCGTCCTCTTTTAATTCTTCTTCCAACTATGAAACTAAGTGGCTTACCGGCTTGTTGACTCATCGGGATTGGCGTCTGGTCAAAGTTGGGTGGAACAACTAAAACGTCATAAAAGCCATCTTGGCCCCAACGACAATGCGTCTTCTCCCCATCGTCCCACCTCACTGTTATACTCCCATTCATTTTCGCAGAAAAGACAACCCCCTTCTGCTCTTTCAATTCCGAACGACCATAGTGCCAATCTCTGCCTTGAACTACACGCTTTAACACCACAAAAGATGGCGGCATCTTGTACTGCTCCTCTGGAGGCATCATCTTCTCTTCAACAAGCTTTGAAGGCGATGTTACAACCCACTCGTCTAACGACTTCTGGGACTGTATACGACACTCTTTGTATTTCTTTAACTCATTCTCGACAACCGTGCGCCTCTCAATTATGTTGTCCTTTGTTTTTTTAATTTGTTCTAATAATGATGTGATGTCGTCCTCCCCTGACATTTTACCTTTAGAGTTTCTTGGTTTAATTATGAGGATTAACTTCATTAGTACTTTTATATTGGGATAATTCCTTATTTATTACTCTTATAACACCTGTTTCAATATTTTTAGTTCTTTTTGTTTTTATTATTTTGTTGTGCAAATAATCGGGATGTTGTCTTTGTGATATTTATTAACAGTTATATTGTATTTTTTTATTATTGTTTGTTATTATTTATTAGTGTGTATAGTAGGGGGATAAATAGCATTAAAAAGGGACAAAGGTAGTTAATTTTGATAAATATAATTTTGAAACTATAATTTTTAAAAAATCTATTTTAAGGTCAAAATAAACATAAAATTAAAATAATAATATAAATTATCGTTTTTTATTTAATATGATTATAAATTGAATAATTATAAATTTCTATTTCAAAAATAAACAAAAACACCTCAATTTGTTCACTTAGAGAAATGTGGAAGTCTAAAACGCAGCACTTTTTATGGTTTGTCTGAAACTTGTTTTGTTAAAGAATTTTTCCTTTGTTTTTTCCTTTGTTTCATTTCTTTTCTGCTCTTCTTCAACTCCAATTGTTTTAATGTTAAAATGGTCTTTCTCTTTTCCTTTCTCAATGGGAATGGTTCAACAACGAAAGATTGAAAGATTTTAACAAATGATGATTTTTCAGTGATTCCCTGACACTTTCAAAAATTGACACTGTTGTTAATTCATTAAACTCTGGCATTTTAACCATATACATCATGAATATATTGAAATACAGTTTTTAAACTGGTATCTTGTATTTGAATTGCTTTTTTATGTTGATTGCCTGTGGTTGTTTCATCAAGGGTTCCTTTCTCTTCTTCTTTTATTGTTTTCAAAGATTGAATAATATCAAAAATAGAAAGTTATGGTTTTCTTTTATTATTTTCAAAGAAGTTAATTGAAAAAACCCTTCTAATACTTTTATAGTTAAAGAAATTATATTTTATAATTTTTTACTCAAATTAACTACTTCTGTCCCAAATTAACCCCCTTTATCACCCGACTATATAATTTAATTTTTTAATTAAATTAATTATTTAATATAATTAATATTTTTTATTTCATTAGTACAATTTGATAATAATATATTAAATTAATAATTTGGTAGTGGTCAATAAAGTTAAAAACATTATCTATTCAATTTGTCATTTAAAATATTTACATAATTTACAACAACAAATAAGGCTTTAAATTGAGTTATTTTTTTAAAGATAGAAACATGCTTTTGGATAAACATAAAGTCATTCCGAATAAGTGTGCAACTTTATTTTTTCTTTGTTTTTTACTCACAACAAAGGGGAAACTCTATTTTTCAACAATAACAAAAACAATAACAAAAATAGAATTAGGTTATAAATCAACATAAAATATAACTCGATATTTAAATGATAAGTTCAACTGCTTGTTCCAATAAAAAACATTAAAATTCCAGAATTCCAATTGTTATACAGAACGAATCAAACAGTGTTGTATATCGATTGTGGATAGCGCAAATGTTAAACATCTCTTTATAATAAGAAAATAATGAGACAAGCCGATTCGTGTGATTCAAAGACTTTTTCGCTGCAAAATTTTGATAAACACGAGACTGAACGGTGCAACCCAAAAAACTAATTGAGAAAAATTGTGCAACTTTAGTTATAATTTAGTTATAGTATATTAATTAGAGTAATAGTTTTAAAGAAATTTGTTTGTGTTTTCTTGTTTTGTTTCTAAAAAATATATAATTTTTTTACTATAATTATACTATAAACAAAGTTGCACTGACACGTAAAAGTTGCACGGTTTAAAGAATGACTTTAGATTATTAAATGTAATTTCTAATAATATTTTATTTTTAATTAAATTAATTATTAAATATTATTATTCTATTTTGGGTATTTTTAAATTACAAAAAAATATGTATTATTTATCATATTAAATCTTAATTACATGTATCAAAATTAATGTATCTTAAGATTTATAAGTTGAAGACAACAAGCCTAAAACTTCGATGCAATAATTAAGTGTTGAACTTTTTCTCCAATTATTAATAATATACAATGTTTGTTTTTGAATTGTATTGTTGTTTATTTATCTTTAAACAGTCAAATTTATATTTGTGTTAATAATATTATACACCTTTTTTTCTGTTGTTTCATTCAGTGTCTGAACATAAAATAATGAATCGGCCAAATTGTTGAAATTCGTCTTGCTCGATATGCTGAGCTCGAAAATTTAAAAATGGTTAAATAAACAACATAACAAGAATATAACTTTATGTTGCCAATAATTGAAACGGTTGTAGTTGTATGATAATGATTGTGTTGTAATTATATTATTACAAAAAGTTATTACCAAAAATAACTTTTTCTATGTTTTCATAGAGTGTTATTAATTTATAACAACTTAATTCATTTATCATTTATTATTATTATTAATAACTATTATATATGGAAATTATACTATAAATAAAAGAAAAAGCAGGCGTTTCCAAAATAATTATTGCTGAAAATGTGGTATTATAACGTAAGAATTTATAAGAGAAAATGAACATTTTGGTTATTAAATGGTGATGTGGGTAATTAGCATCGTGATTTTAAAAACCTTTGAGAAAAAGTAATTATGGTCAGTCGAAAAACTTTGTCCGGGCATTTTTAGATCATTTGAAAAATTGGAACCTTTCGGGAAACAATCCAAAACCTCCCAAAACATTGTTTCATAATTTTTACCAGGGTTTCAACCTTTTTCCTAATTCCCATATTTTTAGACTCATTTTATGTAAAATTTTGTCAAATGGACAACTTTTTACAAGCAAACAACATTTTTAGACAGACTTTAAAATTTTTTATGAAAATATTTTATTTCAAAAATATTTAATTTTTTAATAATAATAATATTTTATTATTATAATTTTAATTTTAATAATATAATATTTTAAACTATTTTTTGATTATAAAAATTAAATATATATTTTAATTTATGTATAGTTTTATTTTTAATTTAAACAAAATACAGTTTTATTTGGTTGTTTTTGTCTTGTAAATAGTTAAATTTTTCTGTTTTTTTCAATTTTTATCGATTTTAAATATATTTAATCCTAAAAATGCAATAATTATCTAGTAAAATAAAGGAATTTCTCTTCTAATTAACGAAAATTGTCTTTTTATTTTTGAAAATTATCCAAAATATCATAAATTATCCCAATTCAATCCAATTATTTACAATTAATTGTAATTATCTAGACATAATAGATAATTATCTTAAATTATTAAATTTTATCAACAATATTATTCAACATTATCTTTATTAAAATGTAATTATCCACATTTTATTTAAATCAAAAATAAAAACAAAGCATTCTTTTTAAAAAAACCAACTATTTATTAAAAATAAAATGAGTAACTCGGCTATGGTTTACATAGACGCAAGAGAACCTGTTGTTAGAGAACACTTTATAGATAGCGCACCAGAACCACTTCCTGGTAATCCTCCAACAAGTACAACCTCGGTTCAATTTATTGTACCAATGCCGCCCCCCAAAAAACGAGGAAGACCAAAAATGATCAGAGAGGGACCCACTCCATTGTCAACGAGTATTACCAAACCTAGAAAACCGTATATCAGAATTACATTAGAGGCGAAAAAAAGGCTAATCGCATTTTGGAGAAAAAATGGAGACGAATGGCAACTAGGCGAATACGCCTCCAAATGTGGGATTCCAAACGACAATTGTAAGTCATTGTTGACCAAGTTAAGAAAGGGAGATAGTATATTGCCAAAGAACCATTATAATAAAAAAGTCGTGTGACTCCATATCAAGTATTGGTAGGAAGACTTTTGGAGAATGACTCTACGACAAAGGTGCATCAGATGAGAGAATACATAAAGGGAATGATGGTAATGGATGACATTGTAAATTTAAGAAGACATTGTAGAAATTTAAAAAGAAACGTTTAAAGAAATTGTTGAGCACCCGGAAATTATTGTGGGAATATACAAAGAAAATATGGGAGAGAAAAACAAGATCGTTCCATCTATTACGTCTATTACAAATTTTATGAGAGGAAAAACTGGTGTTGATGAAGACAGAGAACTTCCGATATTGAGTTTTAAAAGAGAGACTACAAGAGGTGCTGAATCGAACTCGGAAGTAAACAAAGACAAAAGAATAACTGCCATTCAAAAATTGTATGCAAGAATGTGCGAGGAATACTCGTGGGTGTGTTTGGACGAAAACTTCATGGAGGATAGCTACGACGAGTGCGTACGGATGGAGTGACCGTGGAAAGAAGTGCTTTATAACAAAAAGTAAAAGGGGGCTTCGATTGACAAGTGTATGTGCAATAGATGTAAACGGAATGAGTTATTGTGATATTGTTAATGGAATTAACGAAAAGTCTTTATTCAACACTTATTTTAAAAGACTCATGCAATATTATGATCAGAGAAACGTTCGCGTTGTTTTTTGGTGTGATAACTGTGGAATATACAACGACATCGAGGAACTTGTTATTGGCACTCGTCATTGTGTAGTGTTTAACGCCGCATACTCGCCAGAGTTAAATCCCATAGAAAATATATTTGGAATTTGGAAACGAAGAGCAGAACGAGAAATACGTACATGGACAACACTTGAATCTTTACTGGAAAAACTTAGTAATGCGTTCACTTCAATTGAAACCTCAGATGTTGTAGCCTCGTTAGAGCGTTGCAGAAATACGGTGTGGCAGAAAGTTTTTAGTCGAGATAATTTATAAGTTGGTTTCTTTTTGATATTTCGAATGATATTTTTATTATTGAAAATATCCTGTCAATTTAAATAATTAATTTTTAAATTATAAAAAAATGTTATCAATAAACATTTTTGTTGTTTTTATTTTTGATTTAAATAAAATGTGGATAATTACATTTTAATAAAGATAATGTTGAATAATATTGTTGATAAAATTTAATAATTTAAGATAATTATCTATTATGTCTAGATAATTACAATTAATTGTAAATAATTGGATTGAATTGGGATAATTTATGATATTTTGGATAATTTTCAAAAATAAAAAGACAATTTTCGTTAATTAGAAGAGAAATTCCTTTATTTTACTAGATAATTATTGCATTTTTAGGATTAAATATATTTAAAATCGATAAAAATTGAAAAAAACAGAAAAATTTAACTATTTACAAGACAAAAACAACCAAATAAAACTGTAGTGATAAATTAATCTGTAAATAACTTGAAGCAGTTATTTGAATTTTTATTTGGGAACTTCAATTTAACTGACTTTTACTGCTGTGAATTTTTTTCTTTGAAGGAATTTTTTGTGATATAAAGTGGTAATGTTTTCTCGAAATAAATAAAGTGTACTTTTATTCAAACATTTTTATCTATTTAAAAAAACAAACAATACTCCTGCATTTTTCGGGGATAATTATTCTCAAAAAAAACATTTAAATCCAAAGTTGTTTTTTTTTCTTTTCGTTATAACGTCATCAGACATAACAAATAATTTATTCAAATAAGTAAAAATAATTAAATTTTCTTTATTAATAATTAACTACGTAAAAAAATGGTAATAAACAGCTACGAATGCGTTATTATTGATTTATAAAAGATCGTCTCAATAATAAAACTGTCAAAACAACACTAATAAAAAAATAAACTATTTAAATGGTATTAGATTATTAGATTTAATTAATATTTTAAATTAAGAACCAATTTTGCTCATTGTAAAATACACAAAACAGAAAAGTCAACCCATTTACTTTTAGCTTATCAAAAGATCGTCTTTTGGTTTTGCGAATCAATGTATGTAAGTCGAGTTTTTCTTTTTAATATTTAAGTATTTTGACACCAAAATAATAGGACTTTCCAATGTCACTTAAAAAACAAGGTCATAATTGCAAGTCCATGTATTGTGATGATTTTGTTAAACTATAGAGATACTAACAAAACAAGCTTGTAAAAAGAAACCCCTTTTTAAATGCAATTCAAATTTCTTTTTTAAAACAAACCAAATCGGCAATATATCCCCTTTTTTACCATATTATTATTATTTTTATTATTTCTTAATTTTATCTAATAAAAGTATTGTTTTGTTGACACATTTTTCAATGTTGAAAAAAGGTGATGACAAGCAACACGTATAAAAAAATAATCGAAAAAAATAATTCCAATTAAATCGCACACTGTAGAATGCAACGAAAAAATCGTGTGATTTATTTTGGTTGTAAATGGCCAATTTAAAGTTTCAGAATAAATCAAAACAGACTTTTATGTGTGAGTGTGTATGTTCCAGCATCAGTGAAGACACAACAACAGAGGACTTGTTGAGCCAAAACTTCCAGATGAATGACTTTTTAGAGGACACAAGTGACTCAAGTGTATCGATTCGATACGCTGCAGAAGGGTGGGGAAACGATTCCTCAGATACCGAGTTATTGTACAACTCCTCCCCATGTCTTCCCATTGAAGATGAGTACCCTCCCCATCCCCTTTCATTAACAGAAGAAAAAGAGGACAGTGCTGAGGTGTTAAAAGATACAGAAGTGTTGCTACAAAAACTTCAAATAATGAATGTCCGGTCACAAAAATTGGCGAAATTAACTGGGCGGAGAAATTCAATAGAAAAGATATCGTCGTTTCTTGTCCCCTCCACCCAACAAGAGGCCTATGACAATGGGAAGGGGATCGTCAAAAGTGATATTTTGAAGCAAAAAATGGGTGAAAGGATAAACGCGGGCGATATCATGAAAATCACACGCGCTAAGACTTCACAGAGAAAGATGAACAAAATACAACAAATTCTTGGACATCCTTCTGTTTCCGATTTCTCTGTATTCCTATCCCCCAAATCAAGAAAACAAGCTCTCAACAATGGGAAGAAAGTAAAGAAATTCGAAAAGCTTCAGAAGCTTGCTGGCGTTTAAAACTCATCTTGTAAATTGAATGTATGTTATTATGTTTTTTTGTTGATTTACTTTGGGTTTATTTTTCTATAAAACTATATCAATTTAACATTTTACTAAAAATTATAACATTTGGGGTTTGAATAGAATTATAAACTATAAAGAATGGTAATTATTATTACAAAACATTTGGGTTGGCAATTATAAAAAGGTAAAAATACCTTGAACGATTGCTGAAAAGAAACAGAAGGGTTAGTGGAACGAAAATATTAATAGAAAAGAATGCTGGGGATCCGAAAGACGATTTCTCCTATGGACATCAAAACGGAACATGCGTGTTGTTGCGGGAATGTAAGGTTTATACTGACCGAAGAACCCGCAAGGAGTGAACCACCAAAGGAAATCGAAGTCGAGGAATCGTCTGCACATGGAATAGTCAGAGTGAAGTACAGAGAATTTGTACTGGTTGAGGAGGGTGGGAGAAACCACGCGGTTTATAAGTGTTTGCTTTGCAATAAAGTGGTCGGCGTCTGCTTCAGTAACAACGATGTGTTCATCCCTAAATTTACGTGTCAAGCCGATCTTCAATACAACGAGACGTATCAAATCGCGCTACCAAACATCCCTATCACTGACTTTGCAAAGCACAAGATCGACAGAAACATGAAACTGGAACTCCTCGATGTCAAGCGTAAAAAGACTGACCAACTGTACAAAGAGAAAGAGGAGCGAATTCGTGAGTTTGTGAAGGAAGAGGAGAGGAAGTTTGAAGAGGCGCAGAAAAGCGTTGAGAATGATTTCAACTGGATTTGTTCGCAAGTACTCCACACAGAGGAAGAGATGAAGTCGGCGCACATACCAAGGCTCGAGAAGTGTTCCAGACTGATCCATTCCGAGGAACTCACCGAGACCAACCAACTCTTTTATGAATTTTGAAACACTGGACGCATCCTGAAATTGTTATTACTGAGTATTTTTGACTGTTATATGTTCATTCGTTCTGCCACATACAGATTAAATTATTGATATTGTAAGGTAAGTATTATTAATTCATAATAAATAACTATAATATAATCACACTTATAAATCTAAATGTTTATAATAAATATTATATATTATCTATAATAATTTATCATTATATTTTATTAGTTAATTATATTATAACATTTGGTATTTAAAATAATTATATATAATAAAATATTATAAAATTTATTAATTATTAAGAAACAAATCATTTAGTTGTTTATATTTGGTTTTTTATGATTCAAAATAATTACAAATTTATTTATGATAATCAACTATATTATAATTAATTTTTATTTTCAACTAACAATTATAATTTTTTTAATTATAATTGTTATAATGGTTTTTTAATTATAGTTTCTATAGAATTGAAATAAAATGCAAGGATGTTTTTATATATTATATTATAATTAATATATAATTAAAATATCATTTTCAAAAAAATTGTGAGAAAAAAACTTAATAAACCAAATGTCAGTGAATCCGATGTTCCCCCCTTTAAGCGCGAAACCCCCAAAAAGACAACGAAACAAAGAATCGACACCTCAACCCCAATCCCCAGCACAAGAAAAACAAGAGAAAGTACAATCTCCAAAAGTCGAAAAGGTACAGCCCAAGCAAGAAACCCCACCAGCTGCGCAAAACAATTTTAATCTTCCGGGGTTACCTCCAAACACTTGTCAACTCATAGCCGACTTGGCAGATGTTGAGAAGAGGGTCGATGCACTACACGCACTCTCACTGATTGCAGACAAACATCCAGATTTAGCGATACCATTATGGTACTCGTTTGGTACTGTTGTGATACTCCTAGAAGAGGTTGTGAGTGTTTACCCACACATCTCCGGAAAACACAAGGAACCCCTCTCCGTATCGTCATGCGAGAC